AAAGTATTATCTACTTTTAAACTAATTCTATCTTTTCATATTTATCACTATTAAACACTCTATAATAAATATAAAGTCACTTATTAATAGGAGTACTCTTAAAAAAAAGGTGATGATTATACTTCAAAAGATTAAAAATACCTTATATTTTTTAACATTTAACTCCTCAAAAAATACTTTTATATTTTTAACAGAAGGAGTAATTTATAACATATGTTTATATTTTAAAATTAAAATTTATTACTTATTTAATTTTTGAATATTATAATTTATATTAAAAAATATATATATAATTATAATATAAAAATTAGTTTTTTAAAAATTTCCAAAAAATAAAAAAACTGTACGGGCATGGCTCTTAGTTCAATGAATGAGAGCCGGGTTTAAAAAATAATTGATTTTACAACAATAGTAGTTGTTATTGGGGACATTCTTCCCTTAGAAGTGTTGGAAAGTGTGCCGATGGTCAAGAATGCACAACTTGGATTCTCCATGCTGACGAGGAAAAATTCGCCCGCAGGATTCATTTCCCAGCAGAATCCATCCACCATGACAAAAAGCAGAATGAAGAAGCTCTTTTTCCAAAATGTATAATACCCAGTCTGCTAGAAAGGAAAAAACAAGAAAGCGATGGTGCATTAAATATTTCCTTTTGGGACTCGAGAAGCGAGATCTACTTCCATGCTTGGCCAAGGTTGGTGATATCTTATTCTCCGGTTGCATATATGTATATGTATATCCTATTAAATTTAGGAGGCTCTCTGTCCTGTAAAATGCTCCCTGAATCACGTAGTAAGATGTTAAACGAAATTAATAGCTGAGGAAAGTTTGAGTGTGAAATTCTGCTTGGTTGTCTGTAAGCTAGAGTGGCTTCAGCAGGAGCAGAAACGCAAGCTCGGCGGAAGATTCTTTGGTAGATGTGACGTGAAAAAAAAGCCACCGATCAATATTTATGTACTTTCTAAAAATCAATTATACAATATTTTTTTTAAATGTTAAAATTATTAATATCTCCTGTATATTTTCAATATCTAAAATTCTAAACAAGTTCTTTTAAAAAATAAATACATTAATATTTTTTTAAGTTTTTGTTTAAAATATATTCCTTTCATTTGAAATGTAAGGTATTTTTTTAAAAAGTTTGATGTTAAAAAATTAAAGCATTTTTTAATTTTTTAAGGTGTAATCATTACATTTTTTTTAATAAGTATCCTTATTAAATAAATCACTTTGTAAATATAAAAAGATAAATTAGTTTGAAGATAAGTAATTACTTTATTGAGAAATAAAATTTGGTAAAAATTTTGAACTGAAAGAGTACATATTAATTTAAAATAAAAATCATTCAATGAAAACAATGAAAAATTATTTAAAAAAAGATTCTTCTGAGTTTTATTGAAATTATATGAATCTTTTTTATAAAAAAAAAAATATACGGGCATGCTCCCATTAAAAAATATAATATATTTTGTGAGATAAAATGTTAAAAATATATAAAATTTTTAAATTTTTAATATGTAATTACTAATTAAATGAATTTTTTAATTAAAATATTTTATTAAATAAAGATAAATAAAATGCCTTGTCCTCTTAGAAGACTGAGCCGACTACAATAACTCATCATTCATCAATGCCTCCCGGGAGTGCCTTGGTAGAGTTTCTTATAATTAATTATGGCATTTATGGCTGTGATGGTACTGCTAGAAAAGAAGAAATGGTGGAAGAATAATAATAAAAGAACATTAAAGTTGAATCGCCTAAATCAGTTATGTGTGTACATGGATATTGAATTTCATTTTTCCATAAGCATATAATACTCTTATAATATTCCTATTTCCGTCATAAATTATAAAATATTTTAAAATAAAATTTTATATAATAATAAATTTTATTAAATACATATACTTAACAACCATTATTCTTTAAAAAAATAAAAATATAAACTTTTAAAAATAGTATTTTTTAACAATCTTAAATCTATATTTAATTAATATTAAATAAAGAGAAAAATAGGTAATATTAAAATAAATATATTTAATGAAGCATTAAATTTTAAAAATATCTTATATTTTGAAACAGAGAGAGTAATATTTATAAGTCATTATAAAATATTTAATTAAAATTAAGAAAAAATATTAAAAAAATTAATTTTATTAATTTTTAATTTTATTCCAATTAAATATATAATTTAGTAATATAGTTTTTCTTACTAACATCTAATGAAGGGTAAAAAAATTATAATAAAAATTAATAACATGACTTATAAATAAAATTAAAAATTTCTTTTCTCACTATTTTATAAATAGGATTAGAGGGATTAGGTTGAATATTAGAACCATAAGACATGGATTCCTCTTAAATGCCCCCAACACTATAGATGCATTCTCCAACTCCCAAATCCTGCTCTTCATTACATTGAGGGTTTAGGTATCTCTCTATATTTTCTTATTTAGGACGAAAAGTGTAGATCATGAATGTAAGTAGCATGTCAAGACTAGAATTATTGATTAAACGTTTTTTAAAAAAAAAAAAAAACTCTTAATCTAGTCCTCTTCAATAAGAAAGGGAGAGCAACCACTCACATAAGTATGTCGACATTAAATTCGAACCTAAAATCTCTTCTAAAAGAGGAATATGGCATTACTATTAGGATAATTGACTGTTAAAGTTGATTAAATGTTTTAATGAGTGTGCCTATATGATTAATATCATGGAGATAATGAGGACTCTTGTTTTCATATATTAGGGATAATTAGCATCACTGTAATTAATTTCATAACTATTCTTAAACCTCACCAGGAATTTCCCTGGCTTCATCTGGATTTTATCATTTTCTCTAGGCTAAATTAAATTCTTTCTTTTCAATTTTTAAATTTCCTTCCTTTTTTATAAGGATTTAATCTAATTGGATTCCTTCATTCTTTTTTCTATATTATTTTTCAATCAAATAGCTGACACTGGTTAAAAAAAATACACTTATCAAAGTTAAGTTCCAAAAGGATAATATTTTTTTTAGAATTTGAAAATTTCATGGTTGATAAGCAAATATTATCTTAATACATAACACTTACTAAAATTAAATTTTACCAAAAAAATATTTTAGATAAAATTAATATTTTTTTACCAAAAAAGTATTAAAATTAAGTTTTAGACAAATAATTATTTTTAAAAAATAAATAACTTAAATTTCAAAAATAAATCGGCAATTACTCTGAAAAAAATGTGCTCATGTATTCTTATATCTATTATTTTAAATTTTCTGAATTTCAAAAAAATAATTCAAATATTGGATTAGTATTTATGTTTACTTTATGGCATTCTTTTCTAATAGTCAGCTAACCAATGCTGGTTACGGTTACCCCCCCGGGGGGGAAAAAACTATCATTTTTAATAAATATAAAATTAATTAAGTTTACGAGAAGCATGCTGGCATACTACAACCTACAAGAGAGGGGAACAAGAAAGGAGAAAACTTATATGTTTAATCTTACATACTTTATATGCTTGTTTTTAATTAGATCAATACAAGTGAATCTTATTTAAAATATTTATTTTATAATAAATTTTTATTATTAAATTTATTAATACATTAAAATTCATTTGTTATAATTTAATTAAATATAAATATATTAAATATATAAGGATATATGAATCTTACCCAACGAGAAAGTCTGCAGAATACTAATAGACACGTGTTAAGAATCAATATTTTACCTCTTTCATGAATTTCAAAAACTCGACATACACTGATTATTTCACGCAAACTTAAAATGAAAATTTAAGTTATTTAATATTTTAAAAAATTATTTATCTAACAATTAATTTTATGCCATGTGTTTACAAAAACTAATTTTCGTAAGTCAACAATAAATATATATTTAACAACTATGAAAAATTTTAAGTTTAGAGTGTTGGAATATTTAAATATTATTTATGAATTTGCATTAATTAATACTCCCTCCATTAAAAAATGTAAGGCATTTTTTGAGAAGTTTGATATTAAAAAATATAAGATATTTTTAATCTTTCGAGGTGTAATCATTATTTTTTTTTTCAAAAGTACCTCTATTAATGAATGACTTTATATTTATTATATAGTGTTTAATAGGGATAAATGTGAAAAGATAGGATTGGCTAAAAAGTGGGTAACTACTTTATTAGAGGGTGAAATTCAGTTAAAAATGCTTTGTATTTTTTAACGGAAGGAGTAAGCCCAAATAGATTAGTTTTTATGATCTTATTTGAATTGTGATAAGTAGATCACATAAGTGAGTCCGATAAGTAAATATCCAACCTACAATCTTATATCATTTAGTTATTCCCTATTTCTCAATTGACTGAGTAAAAAATAATGAGCAATTAATTTAATTAATTAATTATTAAGGAGGTTATTGATGTAATCCATATGCGATCAATCTATAACCAACATATGTGACTCTCTTTCCCTTTTGTGCATTATCTTTGCACTCTTGACAACTATGAGGGTTTAATAGATTGTGAGTCTGCCTATACTCGAGGTAATTGAAGAGTCATAAGTCATGACTTTTTTATACATGCATGTTAACTTCTTATTTTATTTGAATCATAAAATTGAGATATTAATTTCAACTAAAGCATTATCTACTTGAAATTTGACTTTGATATGTATATTATGTTAATCAATATCAGTTACTTGATTTACAGAAAATATTGTTGGTATCCTGTCCGATTAATATCCTATTAAAAGGAAACAGGGAAGGAAATTGGACAGTTTAAAAATAAAAGGGACTGTAAAAATTTATTTAAAAAATGAAGCCCTGAAAATATCCGGTGAGGTTGTTCAAGTAACTTACGAAATGAATCATAGTGATGCTCCTTTTACCTCACCGCTAAGACACATTTCTACAAAAGCCACAAAATAGCGGTGCTAATTAATTTTAATTTTCCTGTATATTATATCAAGACAAGAGTCCCCATTCTTGTCCTTACCTGCAAGAAATTAATAATAGGCTTACTAAGAACATCTAATCAATAATGCAAGTATTGACATTTATATGTTCCCTAATTAGAATCAGAATCCACCATTTTCGTCCCAAGAAAGAAAATCTAGAGAGATACCCTAAACCCTCTGGAATTAGCTCAAGGAGAGGAAGATTTGGGGGGCGGAGAAGACATGTACAGTACAGATTTGAGGGCATTTACGAAGAACCCATGTACTTCCTTTAATTACAACAAATGATAATCCTGAAATCATTTTCAACTTATAGGCTTATGAAGAAATGAAAAATCCATATGCAAAGTATATATCATGATTTTAGGGGCTTTAACTTCAATGCACTTTAATGACATATTTAAGAAACTCTTTCAACACCTTTCCCCACTTTTCCAAGTTCTAGTGTCTCTCTAGCATTAGGGAAGAGCTTTCGAGATCGAGTTTCTCTGTGTTTGCAGTTGAGGAAGATTCAAGTTCTAATCTTGCTGGAGGGGAAGGCATGACAGGCTTTGGTGGCATTGGAAGAGAATCCAAGCTTCCTTCTAACATTTCAATAACTCTACTAATTGTAGGTCTTTGAGTCGGAAATGTTTGAGTACACCACAAACCCACAATCGTCATTCTCCTTGCAATATCATTTTCTTCCATGGCGTTGGCCCCATCATCTCCCAAATTGCTGCCTTCCTCAAGTTTCTCAAAAATCCAATCTGGAAAATAAATCTCAGTTGTGCAATTGGCTTCATCATTCATGTTCTTTCGTCCTCCAACCATATCTAATAGCATCATTCCATAACTGTAAACATCAGATTTATGTGAAATTCCTCCTATATTTCTATTCCAAACTTCCGGAGCAAGATATCCTATGGTTCCTCTAGCTTCTGTAATTGAAATGATGCTTTCTTTCCTTGGATACAACTTTGCAAGCCCAAAATTTGAGATCTTAGGATAAAAGCTTTCATCTAAAAGAATATTATGTGGCTTTATGTCAAAATGCAGAATTCGTGGGTTACATCCTTTATACAAGTATTCAAGCCCTCGAGCTGTTCCAATTGCAATGTGGTACAAATTTTCCCAAGTCAAAGATGGACTGGTTTTATCTACCTTATCATGAATAAATTTGTCAAGAGATCCATTGGACATGAACTCGTATATGAGAGCCTTTTTGTGTCCTTCCAAACAAAATCCAAGGAGGGTGACAACATTGACATGGGAAGTTCTGCTGATGCTAGCAACCTCATTGATAAATTCTTCCCCGTTCCCTTTTGATGACTTTAATAACTTGACAGCAACAGGACAACCATTGAGTAGTTCTCCTTTGTATACAGCACCATAACCACCTTGTCCCAACTTAACTTGAAAAGATTTGGTCATTTTCTTCACCTCCGCAAATTTATATCTTGTAAGAGCTAGAGGTCCTTGGTTTCTAATGAATGCCTCGATGTTTTGGTCAGCCCTTGATGTCTTAAAGAACTCTATTTTCTGCCTCAGTGATTTGATTTTACAACAAAAAATAATACTGCATATTAGCAATGTTCCACCAATTGTTCCACTTGTTATGCCTGCCACATATATATAATAGGCAATCATTGAGTAGAGTAAAGAATATGGCATAGTCATCAGTTTCAACAATAAAATGTACTCCATTTGCTCTTTATCATAAGGCACCTCTAATTATCTTATCAAAACCAAAGAGAGATAGATAAGTGATTAATTTTATCTGAAAAAAATAAAATTTCAATTTTACCCTCTTTTAATAAAAAAATTTAATTTGCATTACATTCTTTCTCATAGTCAATGAATTTAAATATGAGTAATATTAAAAAAAAAACTTAATTAAAAGGTCATCAAGTGTCTTATATTAAGTATCAAATAATCTTTCTAAAATATATCCTATAATAAGGAAGAGGGAATAGTCAAGATGCTTGAAAACAAAGTATTCTAAAATAAATGAGAAAAATATTGTAATCTTTGAATCAAAACTTCTGTTGTCTTTATCTAAATCTATATGTAATGCTAATTCAAATTATTTGATATTCAGTTTCATCAAGTGTATATTTATGTTTACCTTAGTCTATCCTGATGGGAGCCCAATAATTCAACATTTCATCTGTGTACCTCTCTTTATTATATTATTGTTAATTTCTTCCATTTCTATCCTTTTTAATTTTTTTTTACTCCTACACATTTTTAATTCCATTTTTAAAATTTTCAATTTAAATGTTATTCAAATCAATATATTTTTTCAGTCAAATTAAATAATTTCTATAACCTTTTTTAGATAATTTTTTTTATATTATACTATATCACTATAATCAATATATGAATATGAAATATCGTAAGTACTCTAAGAAATACAATTATTGCCAAGCTGTGAACATTGCAACTTAGTTATCTGATCCATTCTAATTCAAAAAGAGGTTGGTCCATTACCTATTGTAAGTTTCATCCTGCCAGGCCGTGAATTTTCTGCAATTATAAGCAAAGAGATTAAATAATTAATCATGAATTAATAATCCAACTTATTGGCATGGCCCCACTATAATTTATATGAGAAAGGGAGGTTGATCCGTTACCTATCACCGGCGATGGATTTTCTGCAACTATAAACCCAAAAAAGAAAAATATATATTAGTAAACATGATTTTATATTTATAGTTGTTGAAAGTCCTAAACTCTATCATGCAACTGTGAGATAGCTGTGGGCATGCGGGTTTCTTTGTTGATAATACACACTTGAAGAATTTTCAGTTAGAGGTCTACAGCATTCTTATATGGTAAACATATAACAGTAATTTTTTTTTTCCTTTTTAAATGCTTTTCCTCTCTTGTGAAGGTATTCAATAATATATATATATATATATATTAAATAGGATTTCTAGTGTATTAGAGAATTTGATAAGGAAAAAAAAATCAAAAAACTAAAATCAAAGTAGATTAGATCAATAAAAGGAAAAAATTAAATGAAAATACAGAGTCAAGTTTATTTGAATCTGTGTGTGTGTGTGTGTGTGTGTAAAGAGAGATATTTGACTGTGAAAAAGAAATGTTGGGTAAAAATAAATAATATGGAAGAGAGGGGTGATTATTGCGACATAAAGTTAGTGGAAATGTATGCAGGAGAGATGATCAAGGGAATTCACTGTAGGCAGGATAGGAAAAACTATAGGAAGAAATATTATATTAGATGGAAGCTCCAGCTGTCTCAAAATTCCTAGATTGAATGCTTATCACTCAATTTGTTAAGTTAAAATACCTTATCAATTTGTTAAGTTAAATGAATGCTTATCACTTAATTTGTTGAGCTATGAAATTGAGTAAAATTATGATGCAATCACCTATTTTTTTAATAGGAAGACTACATGACTCTAAAGTGGTCTAATAGATCCTCTAATCAGGGAGAGCTCCTAAATATGGATCTGCCTCTTGAAGAAGAAGACTATGCTGATGACATAGAATTATGGCTAAAAAATATTGGTGGTGTTAATAGGAAGGGACACATTTTTGGCATTAGCTCTGAGGCTCCTTCATATTATTGCTCTTGTTTTGCAGAGGATGCCTCTTATCATACAAGACTCTATCCAAAATTTGAGAATGAGTTGCAAAAGCGTGTGGATACTTTGACAAAAATGAACAAAGAGCTTTAGTCAATAATAAATGAGCAGTGACAAGGACTCCAAACTTGCCAAAAGAATATTAGTATCTTGCTCAAGAATATACCACCTGTGGAGGGTGAAGATGAAAATGATCAAAGGTGAAGCTCATGCTTTTGTTTGATTCTGTTTAGTGATTATGGTGTTATTTAACTACTTTATCTTTTTGAGTGATTTCACTATAGTTTGACATTTGAGTATGATTGTATTATATTTTAAGTACTAAGTGAGATGTTTTGTTCTTAATGTTTTAAGCTAAATTATTATAATTTTGCTTATTTTTATGTATAAAATTATTATTACAAGTTGAGGCTATAAAGTAATAATGGGAGAAAATAACAATTAAAATTAAATAAAAAATTTAAAATTGTTTTTCTATTAGGAATAGATTTATGATAGATTTGGGACAAAATAGCCCTTCACAGAATTTGAGACACATTTGCGATGGACTTTCTTTCACAAATATTGGCACACAAAATTGCGATAGACAATTCCTTCAGAAAACTATGGGACAAATTTGTGACAACCAAATCCGTCACAAATTTGGGGTGCATTTGCGATGCTAACATCCACCCTAAATTTAGGGACAAAAATTTCATACCAAAACATTCTGTTGCAAAGTGCGACAAATGTTCAAAATCCATTGCAAAGAATTTGCGACTAGCAAAATAGAGACAGAAGGTTATTTGTTGTCATAAATTTTGTCACAAACTATGTTTGGGATGGAAATTCCGTCCCAGAACTAGGGCAAAATCTACTGTAAAATGAAATTTTTTGATAGTGCTTCCCAGTTCCTTTTGGATGGATTCAATAACTTGACAGGAACAGTGCAGCCATTAAGCAATTCTCCTTTGTATACTACACCATAACTTGGCCTCATTTAACTTTAAAAGATTTGGTCATTTTCTTTATGCTTACAAATTTATATCTTGTGAGAGTGAGAAGTCCATGATTCCTTATGAAGGCCTCAATATTTTGGTCAACATCGTGTGCCTCCCACAATCTAACTTTTTCCCTCCTTGATTTGGTTTTACAACAAGCACTAGCAGTACATGTTAAAAATATATGCTACAATTATTCCGCTTGTAACACCTATCACATGCAGTATATGTAAATCATTGAGTTGAAAATGTAATAGACTCCTCATTTCTACAACAAAATATGTGGTCATGCGTGAAACCAAAATCTCCTAAAATAATAAATGAGCAAAATATAGTGACATTAGAATGAAAATTTAGAGGATCTGACAATATATTTAAGGCCTAGTTAGTATCATTGATGAAAATGAAAAAGGATTTTTTGGCACAAAATTTGAAGCATGCAATATTTATTACTTTTCCGTTACATTATTTAACAATAAGTATTCTTTATTATTTTTAAATATGGATTTAAAAGACATTTTTCATATGAAAAATCATCTTTTTAATCCCTTTTTTTTTTCCTTTTTGCTCTGTATGTATACCAAACAAGCCTAGAATTTACACATGCAACACAATTCATTTTGTAGCTGAATTGCATAAAACTTTATTTTTGAACTTTGAGTTGCATGGAAATAGCCTCCCAAGTCTTTTAGAACACCACAAGTAACCCATATCCTAAGTTTTCAAACTCATGCAAATAATCCATTAATATTATTTCTTCACTACTGAGTATAATGCCTTGACCATGTATAAATGATATATATATATATATATATATATTCTAAGCTTTATCTTCTGTGCAAATAATCCCCTTAAACATTGAGCCATATTATATGCAGATAATCATCTAAACAATGTTGAACTAAATATTTTGATTTTAACAAAACTAAGAGAAAGGTAATTGTTACTTGTATAGATAATAATATCATAAGACAAGTGACAAAACATCAAGAAACGGAAGTGAGCATGAAAAATCAAACAATGGAATTAACGTGAGCGTGCTACACTTTAAGAGAATGAAGAATTAAGAGAAGAAAGAGAAACTTTCATAGAATGTATTTATTTTATTCTTTTCTTAGATAAATTTGTGAAAACTAATTGGAGAGCTAAATACATGTTTGAAAATAATAAGGTTTGCATCATATAGAAAATCATAGGATCATAAGTCCTTAAGAATAAAAGTCTCATCCATGCAAGGATAAGAGATGTCCAAGCATGTTTTGACACATATTTTCATGCACTTATAATTTACATTGTTTCATTTATGCTTGGACTATAAGTGTCCCATGCGTGTTTGATCATCTTTTATGCATATAGCACTTAGAAGATCTCAATCAAGCTTGAATCATAACTAGACCTTATCTGAATTATAAAATCAAAAGTGAAGACATAGCACTATATGCTAGTCCAAGCTTGGATATCTTTGTATCCACATTTGATTGGCAAGTCAGTGTAAAGAAATGTCTTGGTTGAGCTTTTGTAATCTGACTCTTACTTAGATGTTATTCTATCAATGCTTGATTGATCCTAAGGGTCAACTTGAAGTATGTATAAGAAGCAATTCATGCTCAAATTTTGTTGAGTTCATGCTTGAATGGATGAATCACTTGTCAATTTTCAAACTTGACTTAGGATGAGCTTTAGTATTAAACAAGCTAACCAAGCTTGGTTTAGAAATTGCCCCGGCTTGATTCATATCACATAAAGACAAGGTGCCTCTGTACATTCATTCACGCTGAGCGCACAAATTACCCATGTGTGTTTAGACTTATTGAGAAGCCTAATGCTTCAAACATATCATACACGCTTGAATCCTGATTGGTCTAATTTTGGATCAGTGTGAAGCGATAAGTGAGCTAAAGTGAATATAGCTCATCCATGCTTGGATCACTCTTGTCCACGCATGAATGAGAGTTCTAACAGCATTTATTGCACTTCGTGGGAAAAGTGCTTTATTTGTCATAGATCACTTTCACATGTGCATAACAACTATAGTTTGTACCTTATAGATTCCAACAATCCTAAACTATGAAAATTTATAAATATGACCTCATTTGAGATAGTAGGTAATGTTCATATAGATTGAACACATATAATTTGCATCAAACCTTCAATTTTCACTGTGATCATGTAAAAGCTCTCAAGTTTGTTCTTAAGCTTACATTGCTATATCTACTCTTTGAGAGTTTTTGAGTATGCATAAAAGTTTCCTAGTTATCTCTTTGAGAGAAAACCTGATAGGAAAATATAATCTCTGTCCTTAAAGAGATCCAAGGAAGGATTTCCCTGATGTATTAAGAGAAAGCTCACTATATCCATAAGTGAGGAATTAAGGAGACTTACTAGTATAATAAGAGATCTTGTAAATGGCTTACAAGTGCTTGAGAAAGCTTGCGGATTTTACTGAGACAGCAAGAACTCATTGAAGCTTGTGTCATAGTGAAAAATCTTAAGTTTAAGCTTGTGGACTGCATGTAAACCAAGTGGTTGGCTGAATTAGGATAAATTGACTATGCAGTATTTCTAACTTTACTTTCTTTAAATCCAGCTCATTCACACTTTACTTAATCTCTTAGATATTATATTAAAAGAATCTACATTTCACAAGTTTTTTGAAACCTGCAACTGAAATATTTAAGTTTTTTTTTTGACTTATTGCATTGAGAATTCATGTTGCATCTTCAACTATGATCATAATTTTAAAAATTTAAAAAAAAAACTAAAAAATTTCTAAACACTCAATTTCCCTCCCTCTCGGGTGGTGGTGCCTGATCTTTCAATATATCATTTGTAGTTAAACCATCTATTATGTATGTTAGATTTCACTTGTTTAACGGATAATGATCCACATGACTTTAAAAGTTTTGGGGGAGCTTGCCAATTAATTTAAATATCTGGGACAATATCTACATACAATCCTGCGTTTAGGGGGTTTATGTGTATAATTTGACCTATTTATGTTTATTGTTTTCATTGGGTATTATTCTCTTCATTTTTATAGTTCTATTAGAAGTATTTAAACTACTCTTGATGTATATCAATATTCTATTCCAGATCCTTATCACATGATAAGCTAGCTCAGTGGCTAATTGAGTGTTATTATTATGATATGTAGTCAATGATTCCTCTTTTGACCCGAATTATAGATGAAAGAAGTTCATTCAAAATACCCCGCTGAAGCAGTTTTAAGTTTTAACCACAGGGTAACTAATGTGAAACATGGTAAGAAATATCAACTTACGTGGAGTAGTATTCAGTTAAAAGATAACAAATACTACGCAAAATTGTAAAGAAAAATATATGACAGCATAAGTTCGATCTATTACCTACTATAATTTTGTTGGCGAACGCATGTCCTGTAAAAATGAGCAAAGAGAAATAAGAGGACATACCATTGTACCGTGCGAAGGGAAAAACTCAATCACGTAACTACAATTAAAAATGGGGAGTAACCTCATAGAAAAGAGGGGAGACAAATAAATGGGCAAATAGCAAAAGATTACGTCTTAATTTAAAACTTTAAAGCTCAAATAAGTCTTTCCATTTTATTTTATATATTAGTTATTGAGTTTAACTTTATTTAATATGGGACTTCAATGTTAGTTCAATACACACATTTAGACAAACTAATAATACCAAATGAGATTTTAAGCATATCATTAGAGAACTTAGAATTGCAGACATTTGAAAAATGAATTTTAAGTAGGGAAAGTAGCAATCAAGGACTTCTATATAAAATTTATATTAGTTAACGATTAGTTATTGTTAAAACCTGAATGGAAAACAAACCCGAATGGATTATGATTAATTTAAAATGAATTGTTATTAAAACTCGATTGAATACTTATTGATAAAAGACTAACTGAATCTATAAGTATTCATTTAAATTTTGACAACAACTAATCCTTAATTAATATAAATTTTATACAGAGATCCCCGATTGCTATTTTTACATTTAAGTATTGCCAGATGCGGTCTAAGGATTATTGAGTATATCAAACTACAAAATGCCTATGTTGGTGGATATGCATTAGGTTCGAGGAAGTACTCCATTCTTCCACTTATAAAATATTACTCTTTTTTATTTTTATTTAAGGGTATTTTCTAAAAATATTTTTTGGATCTTTAATATAGGAATATTATAGGCATTGTTGTCAAACTCTTGAGTTGACTTTACGAGTTTACCGTTTTTGCATTTATAACTAATAAAATTGTGTTAACTTATTCATAAATTTAAACTAGATAAAACTCAGTTAAACTTATGAGTTGGCTCTTTGAGTTTACCGTTTTTATATAGAAACAAGCCAACGGTGCCCCCAGTCTAAGGCATCATCTTCCTTTATTACTTTTAGTCAATCTCTAGCTTGTAAAATCATATCAATTTGTTCATAAACTTATGGAGCAAGATATGTATATATTAAGTAGAACTTGATTTCATAGAAGTGGTAGGATTTGGTTCAATGAAAAATAACACTAACAAAAAAACAAAAACTAATGTTAATAAAAATAAAATAAAAATATCAAAAAAAAAAGTTGCCATATTTTAAAATTTCTATGCTGAATATAATAATATGTGAATGTAGATAGTTTTAATTTTAATTATTTATATTTGAAAGATATTTAAATTAAATTATTATCATATTTTATGTTTTAATTATTTAATCATATACGTTTAAAGGCTATTTATTAATAAAAATAAACTCTTACAAGTTTACGATACGAGTCTACGTTTTAAATTTATATCTCTGTCATGAGTTTACTTAAACTTGTGAGTTTAACAACATTGACTATAGAGGTATTAATTACATTTTTAATATTATTATTATTTAAAATCATTAACCATGACAACAATACAAATTTAAATTTTTTATTTAAATAAAAATAAAAAAAAAATTTATTTTCAAATAAAACTAATAATTTAACTACTTTTTGGTTCAAGATAGTAGGGGGTTTTTTATAACAAGAATAGGAGAGAGTATTTCACTAATTCAAGTAGACCAATAATATTAATTAATATCTCTAAAATATTCCAGTCTTTCTAAATATACTCTTCTTTAATAATCGGATCTTTAATGGCAAATGAATCAAGTTAACGGGGTCAATAATTTTTTTATCTATTAGGAGACTCCAAACTCTTAAATATATATATATATATATATATAAAGATATTTTAACCTTTCTAATTATATTATTCATTAAATGTAATTCGATCTTTAATGGGAAATGAATCAAATCAACGGGGTCAAGTAATTTTTTTTATCTATCAGAATATTCCGATCTCTTTTATCGAAAAAAAGATATTGCAATCTTTCTAAATATATCGGGGTTGCTCTCTATCGAGTATAGGGTTTTTCTCAGGGGGGAGGAGTGGTCGTCACTAATGGTGACTATTAGTGAGCGGTACTTTGTTGTAGGTTTTGTGTGAGCTCTATCACCTACTGTGATAGAGTTTCTAGAGTTGTTTTGTGAGAGTTTCTTCGGTCTCTTCCTTTGTTTTTTCTTCTTCTAATTATTTCTTTGTCTTCCCTTTCTTTTTCCAAGTTCCTGTTTTTTTTCTCCATTTCCTTTTTCGACTATGGCGGACAGGGAGGGCAGCTCCTGAAATTCCAAGAAGAGGTTCCATCTTATCTAGAAATCTCCGTCAGTAACGAGAAGGACAGGAGGTGCTCTAATTGGGAAGATCTTTTCAGAAAGAAAGCAAAACCGTCAATCGATCCTTTACGTCATTCAAAATGGATGGGGCTTGAAAGAAGGTGAGGACATCGATGCCATAGATGCTGGTATTCCAAATATCTTCATTTTTCATTTTGAAACTTCTAATAACAGAGAATGCATTCTGCGGGACACCCATGGTTAGTTCACTCTTGCGTTATGAGTTTATAACTATGGGACGACTATTTGACAATTGAGGAAGTTAATTTTAATCTTGTTCCATTCTGGGTTCAATTCCACAATCTTCCCAATACAGCTTTGTGTCTAGAAAATGCCATTCATATGGGTTCTCAAGTGGGGGATATTGTCTAGATTGAGCACCCAGAGCCTAAGGGATGAATATTGCGTAATTTTCTTCGTGTTCGAATTCTCATTGACACTACTAAGCCTTTACTTCCTGGTTTGTGGTCTGTTAAGCCTGATAGCTCTGATTTTTGGGTCACCATTAAATATGAACGGTTACAGAGTTTTTGCTTTTACTATGGTTTGTTGGACATGACAATCGTAACTATCAAAATCAACCCCTTATTCTAAGGAGGAAGATAAAAATATTGTCATGGATCCTGGCTTTCAACATTGGCAGCTAAGTTAATTAATGCTAATCTAATTCATTTCAAGAAAGAATGGACTGAGGAGGATAGCTGGAGGAAGATGGTGGCGCGTGGACTCAGACACTATCAGGCGCGTGCTAGATCAAAGCCAAAACCATTACTCTAACATAGCAGAACATCCCCTTCATGTTACTGGCGGTAACGAACGTAAATCAAGCATGGAATCTCCCTCCTGCCATATCAACCGAAACCACCAAACCTTAGATTATCCTCATTTGGGCCCTACTATTTCTAAGCCTATTCCTGTGGCTTTTAATCCTCCTCTCAATATTAGGCTAAGATCTGTTGAAGAAATTGGGCCGCCCTCTTTGGAATCTCCTTCTAAGGTCTTATCAAAAGTTAATATGTCTAATGATGGGCCAACCACCCCTGGTAGAAGAATTAAAAGTCTACGAAGGCCATTTAAAAAAAGTCTAGTTACTATTGAATCTGGTAATTCTAAGGCCATTATCCCGTATGTTCCTGTATCTCTGTTGACTGAAGTGTCCTTAAAGCTAAAATGAGTGGACTTAGAGCATGACTTTGAGGTCACGGATGCTACTAGATCCCTAAAAAGGTGGAAGTTATTTTCCGAACTTAATGATGCTAACTAGGGGTGTTCAATCTGGACCCGTCCTGATTGGCCCGGTATCGTCCCGATCATATCGGGACGGGTCTTGTCCCGGCCCGAAAATAATCGGGACGGAACTTTACGGGACGGGATAGGAAAGGGGTTCGAGACGGGACAGGACACGGGATTATCATCGGGATGTCCCGTCCCGTCCCGAATATTATATATATTATTTTTTATTTTAAATATATTAATTATATTAATATAATTTATACTTATATTAATTATATCAATTATAATTTTAGTACTTACAATTCTTATTTAAAACTAAAGTGTTTTTATATTAATAATTTTAATGGTATGGAGTAAACATGACGATATCTTTTTTATAATATATTAATTATATTAATATAATTTATTCTTATATCTATCTATTTAATGACTTTTATTTATAACCTATTTCTTGCTTATTTTTAAAAGAGTAATTAACTTAGTACATCTTCATTAAAGTAGAAGAACAATTATTTGATGTTGTGTTTGACTTGCCTGTTGTTGCTAATTTTATAGCATAAAGATCACTTGTATTTTTTATTATAATATGTAGTTGTGATTAATATAATTCAATAATTAATTTTAAATTATTGTTATTTATGTACTTGTGTTATTTTGATTTTAAATTTAATAAATTATATAATTTAAAATTTTAATGAACATTATTATCCAGATCTTTTTTCGACATTATTTCATTTATCGGGACGGCGGGACGTCTCGATCTTGTCCCGGTCTTGTGCCGACTCTTAACGGGACGGGACGACTTTCGGGACGGGACGGGACATGAGATTAAAATTCAGTCCCGATTTTTTTTTCGGGACGGGACACGGGACGGGGGTGTCCCAGTCTGTCCCGTCCTGTGAACACCCCTAATGCTAACATAGATACCCCTGAAACTCAGTCAAATCTGAAGCCCAGAAAGTCTCGACGCTGTGATAAATCTTCAAGTAAAGCTAGAAACAGGTCCTCCTCTCTATCGAAATATGTAAATGACTCTACTATTGAAGATGATAATCTGGTTAATGTCCCTATTGCAATTGAGATCGACTTTCTTGAGGACTGGTTTAAGTTTAACTCTAAGTCAGATAGTTCTATCTCCTCTTCTCTTGCTATAGGCTCTAGTGGCTTGCCTCATAAAGCCACCAAAGGGCCATGAATCTATTATTGTGGAACTGCTAAAGGCTTGGAAAACCTTTGGCAGTAAAAAACCACAAGCAGGATATTTCCAAAAATAAGCACTTGTTTTTCTCATGAAGACCAAGCAGCAGGCATCTTATCTAGATCGCATTAAAAGAAGTTGTGGTATGAAGAATGCATGGTATGTGGATCTATTAGGACTCTCAGGGGGCCTAGCCCTTTAGTGGAAGAATGAGGTATCTTGTCAAATTTTGTCCTCTTGCAAAAATTATATTCATTTAGCTTTGGCCTCTAC